GTTAGCTGACGAGTCCTAAATAGGACGAAATGCGCGTTATCCTGGATTACTCCACTGCTAGTCACCATCCACCAATTAACTTATTACTAAGTTCATCGTTGGCTTTACATAGGCCTGATTTATAAAGTCAGGAATGATTACTCTGTTATAATTTGCTACTCCACGGCAAAAATCAGTAAAATCTCAGTGATAATAATAATTTGCTTTATTCCAAAACAGAACATGTGATACAGAATGGAATTCTCAGCATTTTTACTACAGTATTGCATCCAGTTAGTACATTATCAATAAATAAAATTCTACATAGATTAAGGAAATCTCAGTTCATTATGACAACAACATATTGGCATGTCGGTAGCAAAGCCAATGTTGAACAGAGTGTTTGAAGGTGTTAGAAAAGTAGGTGCTGTCATATTTACTGGCGTAAGCGAGAGAAAGAAACAAAGCAGCACATAACGGAAATAAAGAGAGAGAGAAAAGGGAAAGAGAGAAAGAAAACGTTCTACCTATAAATGATATGAGTCGGAAAGACGAGGTCCAGTTGTACTACTGACTATTTAATGAATTATATGTGTCACGCCTAATGCTTTCTTTATCACACAGAATACGAGCTAAGTAGGGTATGGTTGAGTTTTTGTACTTGCTGGTGCGAGCATATAGTTTTCTATATAGGCTTCTGGTTTTACCTGATGAGATACAAGAGGAGAGTTGTGAGTGAAGAGGGTGGTGTGAGTTGGATAAAATGGATTTGGCCCATTTTTCAAATGAGTCCATGTGCCTATCGACCAGAATAATAACAATCTGGTTAAGTGGCACGTTGCTTACCCTACTGACAACCTTTAACATCCTGCGTAATATGTTATAGTCTTTCTTCAGTAGCCCGTGAAACACTAAGGGGGAACAATAGAGAATAATAGGCAGGATGCTAGAATTAACGAATTGTGGGAGTAAGGGTTGGGTTATACCAGAATGTTTTAACTTCTTAATGTAGAATGTAAGACGGAATATTTTCTTGGAAATCGCCAAGATATGAGACGACCAGGAGAGATCAACAGATAGAATGACGCCTAGATATTTAATTTCTGACTTGGTTTCTAATTCAGTGCCATCTATGTTGCACACCTCGTGAGAGCCAACCAGTTTGTTTAGGTCAGATTTATGCCTAAAGGTGAAACTGACTGTTTGGCATTTGGAGGGGTTGAAGGTAAGACTGTTTTCCCTGGACCACTGGCTGATTTCTGACAGAAAGCCATTAAGTTTAGAGCAGTCGCTTTGACATTTGAAATTGGAAGTAAATATCAAAAACCTGCTTATTAGTCGCTTACTTCTACATGGATTTCTTAAAATTGTGTTTACAAGTTATGACGGCTTACATTCAATAAGTCAGGTTTGATAAGGTATGTCCACTATTCATAATGGATGGTGCCACCGGCTTATTGTGAATTTCAGCCAACAATATCCAGAAACCTTCTGTTCTTACTTGTGGCTCCTGATAGCTTCATAGATGAGCATCGTTGAAGCATCCAAAATTGAGATGGAACACTTCTTAAGAGCCTCCTAGTTTTCACTAGTTCCTTGTCTGATGACATCAGTTATGTAACAGTAACATCAACCAGACCATTTCAACAACCCTTATAAAAGTCACATGAAATTTATGGAAATTCCATTAGTAACATTTCCTTCAAAAACATTATTTAAACAATTTTTCTTATCACTTGCCTTCCAAGTTGGATACAGGGTTCTCAACTTTGAATTTTCTATACTATAAGTAGTATTGCTTTTATTTTATAGTTTGGGGTGGGGTTACTAGTTTCACACCCAACCTTCCCTCATTTCCTGGTTTGTATACAAAACAAAACTTAGGAATGTCTTATCCTAGAATCAAATCTTGACAGTTCAGGTAGCTAGAAAGTGTTCTACTCTTGAACAGCTGATGTACATCGACTCATACATGTAGTAGCCTTAGAAACTGACAAAAGAATCAGTGAATTAAGGTATTGGTTTGTAGGGATTTGATTGATTGGTTACAGGATTTTCCATCATGTTCTGATATCAGTTAGAGAACCATCGGGAAACCACCCACAGAGAGTACTGGACATCCAGCCATTTCATCTGCCTAGTTCAGGACTCCGCTACAGCAGTATACACTCACCAAAGGGGTTTGAATCCACGACCTTCTGGTTATAAAGCTAGCAAGCTCGTAGACCATTCATAAGCCACTCAGTGGGACACGCCAGTCCAACGGACAGTTCATGGTTTATAACTTCTGCCAGTTCACGACATAGCGCGACTGCTAGCCAATGTCTGGATTCTAGTGGGAAGTCATGACGAGTAGGGTGAAGCGGATTGCGCGTGAGGACAAATACTCGCCGAACACCAGACTGGATCGGGTTTCAGTGGCTTAATGGTCTACGAGCTCGCTAGCCTTGTAACCAGAAGGTCGTGGGGTGGGTGCGTACTACTGAAGCGGAGTCTTGAACTAGGCTGATGAAACAGCTGGCTGTCCAGTACTCCCTGTGGCTGATTTTCCAATGGTTCTCTAACCGATGTCAGCTCATGATGAAATCCTACAACCAATCAATGAATTGTTTTTCATGCAAATATTTCAAATTCTAAGATAGATTTAGAATCAATTGGTTGGAGGTAGATAAATCCGTTAAAGAAAATCTCTGTATTCTAGTTGATAGCATTTTTTGTTTATAAAAACGAATTTTTTATCATATCTTTTGCACTTATTTAAAATTCAATTTATATTTTGTTTTATTGAATTAAGTTAATTATTTATTTGCTTCTATATTCTTTGAAAATTAATTAATATTCATTAAAGATTTTGAAAAATATATATATATATAATTTAATTAATCTTGATAAACTTGAATGTGAAGTACATTGAATTCATTGGGTTTTAATTTATACATTTATATAAGTAAATGATTAGTTTTGTTTTAATCGAATTCTTGAGATAAATTCTCCTGTGTGGATGAGGCTTTTTGCTTTTTCAAAAGAATGCTTACTGTACAGAGAATATTCTTCTCGATAACCCCTTCTTCATCCGGTTCCACAGTCATGTATGAATACATAATAGTGAATGAATTAGTGTTATGAACAACATTAATGTTGTTTCTAGTCTCTGCTAAAGGCCGGTCAGGGCAGTAGCAGTGGCTGCCTGAACTTGCCTCTTCTGCACACAGAGCACCAGCTGTTTCACGAGAATCGAGATAGCCTCCACTGTTAGGTGCATGTGTTACTTCGATGTTTTCGGTAATTTATTTGGTAGCCGGTAGATGATAGCGAAGGATTCTTCAATGCTGGCTGGCTTTGTGGCCGGCCGGTTTGGAGGAGGTGGTCTAATATCGAACTGTTGATGGTCTTTACTACACCTTTACTTAGCCACACCACACTGGTAGATGTTCCCGAATGAGCAGGAAAAATCAAGTTCCTAGAGCAACGGTGTTCTATTTGAGTTATGAAATTCTGTGAATGTTTTATAATATTTGAGTGTCGTTTTGCAGTTGTTATAGTATTTGAAGAGGTTGTATGTTGGTGAGTTGGTGAAATCTACTACTGTTCTTAATGGAACTGTGGGTTTGTGTATCTTTGATTGACCGTAGAATCAGTATTATTTAGTAACCGACTATCATTTTGAATGAATGAACTAGGAATATCGTTCACCGATTGCATCTTAATTTACCTATAAACTCGCTGAACTGGAAGATACCTAGTAATAAGTATATATTTATATTCTTTACTAAAGGGATTTTGGAGCAACTTCGTTATCGCATATGCGATGCTGAGACTACGTGGGATAACCATTGACTGATGAGAGACTATTTACCTTGACAATTAGTAGCATAACAAAATTCGAACAGCAATCTGTCATTCATTCACATGACAGCTGAGCATTACTCATGGTGATGACTGGAGTCACCTGGCAAACTGGTTGGCAGCTTAGTCTAATAGCGACATTGATATGTTGTTGGACTACTTACTAATCCAAAATTATTCAAAATCATTTGAGACCGTATTCAGTGCATATTTCTAACGAATAATTATCTAAAGAGAATAGACACGGAACAAAGAGAACTCTTTTCGATAAATTCATCATCAGGTTCTACAATTATATATACATTATAGTGAATGAATGAATTAGTGTTATGAACAATATTAATGCTGTTTAAGTAACATCGAATCAGTGATATTGATAGATTACAGCTCAATAGCATCAACATCAATTAAACTGAATGTCAGAAGAATTAGAAAAGGTAATAGTACAAATTCATGAGTTTATAGTCTCTACTGAGGGCCAGGGCAGTAGTAGGGGCTGAACTTGTTTCTTTTGGACACAGAGCACTGGTCGTTTGAGGTGAATTGCAATAGCCTCTGTTGTTTGGGGGATGCGGTGCTTCGATAATTTCGGTTATTTATTACGCACCCGGTAGATGATAGAGAAGGATTCGTCTATGCTGGCTTTGTGACTGGTGTGCACCAGATAGTCCAATATTGAACTGTTAATAGCTTTCACTACACCTTTACTTAGCCATAGTGAGATATGTTCTCAAGCACGAAAAATCAAGTTCCTAGAGCAACGGCCAACATAACTCACTCCACAAGCGCAGTTGAATTGATAAATACAATTTGAAGTGGCTAGTCTAGGTACTTCATCTTTCAGTCGAGGTAGCAATATCGGTTGTGTAGAGAATAATACGTGTAGTTCGCCAGAATTAAAAGTTCTTTGAACTGATTTTCTTAATTTCTTCATAATTAACTCGCTTGGTATATCACCCATGAATTGTAGTCGTATATAAAGTGGCTTCTTGTTTACAGATAGTGGGTAGTCGTTTTTGGCTTTCTTTGTCATACGTTTCTTGATAAATTTGTCAGGATAACAATTTTCGACTAAAGTATCATATACTATTCTTAATTCATCTTTAATTACTTCTTTTGAGCATATGGCTCTAATTAATAATTATCTTTTCTTTTATTACTCTGTACAATTTTAGAGAGAAGAATCGTTTGTAGTCTTCTGTCAAATACGTCGAAAAATGACAGAGAACATAAATTCCGTAAATGAATACAATGATGGCATAAACGACCAAGACTCCACATACTCATCAGAAGTTAATACACATTCATTGAAACAAACCGCCGAAGATGACCTTGAAAATACTTTACCGCGTAATTCAAACAATTCAAACTATTCCGATCAATGTAGTCATCATCACTTATCATTTTTACAAAATCAACTACAAAATATTTTCAAGTCTACTTATAATTCAAAGAAAATTCCAATTACTATTGATTTATTAAGAGGATGTAAAAGATTGATAAAAATTTTAACAATGGCGGAAAATTCTTTGAATCGATTACTTTCAAATGTATGCGAAGATGATCAACGCTTAGTGTATAAAATTATTTTATACCGATATGAAATACTATGGTTACCATTGGCTGGACGTTATAAATTATATACTGGTGCTCCAATCGATGTCTACTTGATGTGGTTCGCGCATATGTTGAATACTACAGTGTATCGTCAAGAATGTCAAAGGTGAGTGTTAATTTTTCATAGTAAACCTTGATGGTGGTTAGCGGCCAGGATAAATAACGCGTTATTTTAGATATGGGGAATTCAAAAAAGCTCAAGTCATTTAGAATTCACCTTTGAAGTGATTGCTTAAATAACTCAATCAAAACTTCACCACTACGCCATACAACTCAGAGAACCTTGTCCCTCCGAAATACATCCATCTTACGAACACAACATTCAGCGAAGAGACTCTTTTCAACAGCGAATTCATTATCAAGCTGTACAATTGTATATTTATGTGGTTTTAATTAAGAAATTATATCCGGTGAGGGAATTAGATCAAAGGTGCGAATAGATGAAATAATAATATTAGTTTTTTTTCTCCTTCACGTTCCCCAGTGAAACATAGGGCTTCAAGCTAGTGGCTTTCAGTTTCTGCAGCAGTGCTTATTTTACAGGATGGGGTTGCTAGCCTCATGCCTAACCTTTCCTCTTCACCAGCATTATTTCTGGCTTAGCGAGGTAAAGGAGTGCGTCGGCCGGGGATCGAACCCCGGACCATGTGCATGGTTGGCGAGCGTCCTAACCGCTATGCCACCGACGCAGATGAGTAATAATAGTAGTAGTATGAAATGCAATTAAAATTAAAATGTTTGTGATTATAATCATAGTTAAATGTCAAGTAGCAAAACAATTAATGCCATATATAGAATAATATAAAAGGCGCATAGGTGTTGGAAAGGGGTGCATAATTATAGAATTGGTGGGCGAATATAAAATGTTACATAACATGGTGGGAAATTTGATAAGACAGAATTCAATATTGTAGAAAAATAATAATTTTGGATTTAGAATGACAAGTGGGACAAGCGGAAACAATTCAGAGTCTGAATAGTAATAATAATAATAATAACAATAATAATCGTAGTAACAAGGGAAAGGTACATAGAATAACTAAATAAACAAAATAAATAAATGTCTATCTCTCTACGGCCAAGGCAAAAGTAGGGATTGTACATACTTGTTTTGTGCACAAAGGTCTGGCTTAAAGTCATGAAGTGCCAAGGCCTCAGCTGTCTTTAGAAGTCTGTAACAAAGAAAACGCGGGAAGTTAGCATGGATTCTGTATATGATCTTAAAACTATGGTCGGGGTTGGAAGAGTGACAGAAGTCGATCAGGTGTTCTAGAATAGTTCTTTGCACACACTTCCTTTGTCCCTTGCAAAAGTATGTGGCCGGAATATGTTCTCCTATCCATGTTGAAAGCGTCCTCTGGCATTGATTGTTTTGCTACCTGACATTTAACTATGATTATAGTCAAATTTCACAACATGTTATGTAACATTTTGTATTCGCCTACTAATCCTATAATTATGCACCCCTTTCCAACATCTCTACGCCTTATGTATTATCCTATATACGACATTAATTATTTTGCCACTTGACATTAAACTATGATTATAATCACAAATATTTTAATTGCATGTCATACTACCATTATTATTACTTCATGTGTTCATACCTTTGATCTAATTCCCTCACCGGATATAATTTCTTAAGTCAAACCACATAAATATACGATTGTACAGCTTGATAATAAATTCGTTGTTGAAAAGAGTCTCTTCGCTGAATATTGTGTTCTTAATGCTACAATGGGAATTTTTAAAAATTATTGAAAAAAAATGCAAAAACATCCATCTGGATTGTGACTTTCTGACGTAACATACCTAACGATACAAATTTTGTGTGTTCAGTCTCAAAGACGTCTCTCCAGGAATTGTCTTTTTACAATTGTGTAGACATTTCCCACTGGTCAATGGGTCAGTTGTACAGAAATCACTCCCCCTTTCTCCACACACACACACACACACACAAAGGAATGTGTAGTTAAAATATTTCCCTAGTTTCTATTAGAAAGCCATTTTCTTTACAGATTAAATTTATGCTCTATATCCCCTCCTCAGGGAATAACTTACTTCTGTCGGAGTGTGTTTTTCTTTTCTAATACAATAATACCCAGTTTTTTATCAAAACAGAAAACACTAGAGAGAAGTAAATCAGTCCACCCACTCACTCGAGTCCATTCCTCTTCACTCTACACCACTCCACTCCAACACATCCCCCGGCCTGAACCACATATTTCAAATTCTCTCTTTTACGAGAAAATTATAATAAAGGGGAAATGTTTTTTTATTTAATCTTCTGTCATGTGTAATTTCTATTTTAAATATATTTGAAAAATAAACAAACTTTATCTTGGAGGTTGGATAAGATAAGATAAGGAGGTTGGTGTAGGCGTTTTGTCTTGTTTTATTTTTTGCACAGATTATTAAAAAAAAATGTAGCTGTGAGAAAGTAATCTGGGATTTGATTATTTAGTGATAACTAAGATTGTGGAGATGCTGCCTACTTAGGCTATGGAGGCCGCATTACAGTTCTTTCATGGACTGATAGCCTGATATATATATATATATATATATATGATTTCATTTTCTATAGTCAGTTTGTAAGGATTAGTTTTGTTTCTACGAATTGATCACGGATTGATATAAGTTAGAGAACCATTGAAAACCAGACACAGGGAGTAACGGACACTTGTTTTATCCTAGTTTGAGAATCATCGGCAACATGCATTCAATGGGGTTCGAACCCAGGAGCTTCCGATTACAAGGCAAGTTAGCTCGTATACCATTCAGCCACTGGGACCAGCCATTTCAAAGGAATAATAATAATTAACTGCTGAAGTGTTTCAAGTCTGCGAGAAACAATTGTCCATTATTTTCTGAAGGGGAGCATAATTTTCTTGAACATTACAAATCCACCTTGTTGTCTAATATCAATAAGGCAGGAAACCTAGATTCACAGCTCCTTGTTGACTGCCTCCAAACACCTGGCATCAGTACACCTAGTAATGTAAACTGATTCACGCATTGGTTTGCTGGGATTCGGTTGATTGGTTACAGGATTCCATTATGAACTGCCATTGGTTAGAGAGTACTGGACAGCTGTTTCGTCCCCGTTTGGGCTTCTTCATCAGCACGCACCCACTCAACTGCGGGTCGAACCCAGGATTTCCTGGTTACAAGGCTAGCGAGCTCGTATACTATTAAGCCACTGGGACCCGATCCAATGGCCACTCCATGAATTCCAACTTGTGCCAACTCACGATATAGCGCAACCGCTAGCCATTGTCTTCGGCGAGTATTTGTCCTCATACCCGACCTGCTGCACCCTACTGGTCACGACTTCCCACTAGAACCCCAGGTAACTACCTACCTGAAAAGGACTAGTCGTTAGTGAGCATCTCATTGATATTCAAGTATTAACTTGTAGGGATTTGATTGATTGGTTACAGGATTTCATCATGAGCTGACATTGGTTAATGGTCTACGGGCTCGCTAGCCTTTTGACCAGAAGGTCCTGGGTTTGATTTCCGGTGGGTGCGTACTGCTGAAGAGTCCCAGCTGTCCAGTACTCCCAGGTCTTCTCTAACCAATGTCAACTCATGATGAAATCCTGTAACTAAACTGATTTAATTTAGTCAAAGCCAACGCCAAGGACTAAATGCATGAAATTGGTCACACCCTACTAACCATTTAATGGCTTCTTTAATTTTTAGTAAATATCGAATGAATTTCAAAAATCTTCTCAGATTTCAATTGAGGCCAAAGTATTTTCCATAACATTAATACCAAGATTATATATATATATATATATATATATTTCTTTTACATCCCAGTTTAACACAGATTGATTAACTAAATCTAAGCAATTTAACACTGTGATTTTTGGGTGTGTCAATATATTTTGCTTCAAATAATAACACAAATTCATCCTTATATAATAATAATGATAATAAATAGAGAAGTCAAATTAATACGAATTCTAAGATAATCTCATCAGACGTATTATTTATTTATATAATATGACCAAGTCAATAATTAGACTTGTATGACCTAGATATCTCAATTGTGATTGGTTAAACTCAGGAGCGTGTGACTCTTCATCACTTGCGTAGGTGTATCTAATAAACATTGCTTTAAAAAAATGCATTCGAAGTAAATAATCACCACAATAGTAGGCTTAAATGAGGCCCTAATTAAAAGGCAATTTTGTACTGTTTGTTCATTTTATCAATCCCTTGATTATTAATGATAATCGCATTCATTAAATCTATTTATTCGAGTTAATTTAATTGAGTTTAATTATCTACTCAAAACAGTAATCACCCTTTTATTGAGAATAAAAGAGGGTAAATAACCTTTTAGGTTAATAATATGCATTGCCCGTTGGTTGACGGTGTCTGAGGTTAATGGTGACTAGCATTGGGATCCATAATATGCGTTTCGTCTTATTTACGACTCGCCAGCTGGAATTACCTATATCTACAGGCAGTAATGGTCCTCATATCTCTCTTGGCCTATGAGCCTAGTGGGTATAGCATCGGCGTTGGAAACTATGGCTGCTTGGTTTAATTAGTGGTGGAATGTGCTATTTGTTTTTGCTTTGGAACTCGTTGGCGGGATATACATGCATCTTCACTGTGACTGAGTCTCAACCAACACCTATCGTTTCATACCTCAGAAAATTATCTATTAGGCTAAGGAGTTACAGAAACTGCTTCCTATGTGACGAGCACCAGCCGTCACTTGTTTAAATTATTTCAAATTTTCAAGTATTGGTTTTGTAGGGATTTTGTTTGATTGGTTGGATGATTTCATTATGAACTGACATCAGTTAGAGAACCATTGGGAAATCAAATGGGAGTACTGGACAACCAACTGTTCCGTCAGCCTAGTTTGGGACTCTTTAGAAGTACGCACCCGATACGGATGGAAGAGTCCCAGACTAGGACGAAATAGCCATCCAGTACTTCCAAGCTTTCCAATCGTTCTCTAACTGATATCAGCTGATGACGAAATCCTACAACCAATCAAACAAAAGTCCCTACAAAGCCAGTACTTGAAAACTAATCTGATGCTTACCAGCGACTGGCCCCATTCAGGTAGGTAGTTACCTGAGATTGTAGTGGGACGTCGTGACCAGTAGAGTGCAGCAGGTTGAAGGTGAAGACAGTGACTCACCGAAGAAGACATTGCGAAGTGGTTGTGCTATGTGGTGAATTCGCAGAAGCTGGAATTCATGGACTGGCCATTGGATCGGTTGAGTCCGAGTGAGTAGCTAATGAATGGTCTACGAGCTCGCTAGCCTCGTGACCAGAAGGTCCTGGGTTCGAACTGCAGTTGGGAGAGTGCGCACTGCCGAAGAGTGGGTCACAAACTAGGCTGACGAAACAGCTGGCTGTCCATTTCTCCACTGCTGGTTTCCAATGGTTCTCTAACTGATGTCAGCTCATGATGAAATCCTCCAACCAATATGCTAAATTTCTCAATAACTAAGTTACATCACGAACGCAACCACTCACTGGGGTTTAGGTATGTGCGAATGACGTGTTTAATACAGGACGTCAAACACGTTACGAATTTCACTGCTGTCCAACATTAACCAAGGGGCATCGGGTCAACTGTCAGACGCTATAGAATACCCGTACTTAGAAGCGAGAGCCTCTATGAGAACCATGACTTTTGGTTCAATAAACATCAGTAAACAGAAAATGCACGATAACTCACACGAGCACTAAGTGTTTACTATTATCATTATTAATCTAACAAAAGAGACTTTTAAATGCGAAGAATTATTCACCTTCAATGTGTTCAATTTGTTTTAATTCATTATTTAGTATTTGTGGCGAACAAATTGAACATTTTCTTGTCTGTCAAAATACCTTAAAGAATTTAACTAACAAGGCTAGTGAACTATGGAAATCACGTTATCCGGCGGAACCATTCAATCTAGATGTCAATCATTTAGACAAGTATAAATCTCAAATAATCGATTGGTATTCAAAATTATCCATCAATCCTATCCAGTTGATTGAATATAACAGTAATTTTTATTATCAAGTGAGTCATAATAATAATAATAATCAGTTTTATTGAGTTTTTGTGGAATTTAAAGGTGCTTTCTTTATCCTTTAGATAGCGTGTTACTTGTAATCTTTCGCCATTGAAGGTTGTTCATGATTTCCTCAGGTCGACCGACTGTTGACAGTTCACATTAGAGCAGTCAGTGATTAGTGACTGTCATATCTCAGCCCTAATTCGTATCCCAGAGCTTATTTTAAGAACGACGCATATGCAGCTCTGATAACCTGGAGCAAGAAGAACTATACTTCCTGAAAGAAACCTTCATACAAAATGGTTATCCACAAAGAACCTCGACTTCAAAGGTGACCTACTGAGTGATGTCCTTAGCAGGAGAATTCCCACTTTTTTAAGAAGAACTTTCTTTGAGGTGACATTGAGAGTAGTGTTCCCCAGTCGGCCGCTGATCTGCAGAAGCCCAAATCAGAAGGTCCCTCACCTGACCACTTCTATGTGTATATATCATTTCACCTGTTGCTGTGAAGCCAGGTTCATCGGTCGTTCGATTTGTATCCTGTTTGCGTGGCTGCAGAAAGGAATTAGTGGTAGTATAAGGAGTGCAATAATTGAACATTTCGTCACCACTGGTCATTCCATTTCAACAAACGCCTCCTTCAATGTAATCTACAAAGTGCAGAACAACCTGCCAAAGACAATACGTTTCCGTCTTCTTTGCATTGCAGAAGCCCTAGCTATTCAGCTAGAAGAACCAGAACTATGCATACATGGCAACAACTCTGTTGGTTTGACTTAACTTTTGCTGTATGCTTATTTTTCTAACTACTTAAAACTCTTGCGTAATTCCGTATGTTATTTTGTTTCCAATGTTCACTCTGAGTACAACTCTTTCATCGAACAATTCATGTTATTACGTAACTCTTCTTTAACAATCGCTTGTGATAACTCATCACTTTTGTTGCTACCCTCTAATATCAACAACCGATTCATCTAACTTACCAACTGTATTTTCGTTTGACAAATTTAATGTACACACATATACAAAACAACCATATATATTTGCGATTGCACAGCTTTGAAAATGAATTCGCAGAAAAGAGACTCTTCGCTGAACTACTGGTCTTCTGTCTATTAATTTTAAGAACAACCAACAAATGGATGAAGAGACGTTTATATTATTCGCCATCAATAACTGAAAAAGATGGGGTGTAGGACTCCACTCACAAATTCTTGCAGAATAATCAAGTCTTACTCTCTCTCTCTTTGTCTCAATGGACACAGCGTTAATTTTCTTTCGTCTATCTAAAAATTCTTGAAATCCTAACTTCTGTCTTTCCCTCAATTCAACTTCTTTTGTCTCAGATGTAGTTGTCCTAGATCCGACTCTTGTATGCTCATCGATTATGCATTAATGTCATGGATCAGTGTCAGCATTGACTGGCCGAAACCGAATTATACATTTCGATTAATAAACAGCTTTATATTATCTCTAAAGTTGAAGATGCTGGGGAACAGCTATTGTACTTGGCACATTACAGTTAATGTTAAAACCACAGAGGATAGAAAAATACGTATGACGCCAAGATATATTCAACGACAATCCCAACTCACACCTGTTGCACAACAGATGAGTCTCGTGCTCAGTAGCCTAAACAATGGATGCTTCCTTGGGAATGCCCTCGCGACCTAGGAATTCTAGTATATTTAATGATGATAAAGAAGTGTAGGGATTCTGAATGGTTTAAGTTCAAGTTAGGAAAACATTATGATTAGATGGTTGAAGGCAATCGGCCACAGGAAGCCTTGCCTGACCTAGGTTTCGTGCTAATTGGCACTCAACAGTCAGCAGGGCAGGCGTATCTGCAACCTTGAAGGAACTCATTTCCCTTCTGAGATTCGAACCCGCGTCACCCAGTGCTGCCTGCAGTCAGAAGCGTTACCACTAAGCTATTCGGTCTCGCGACTGACCTCCTGTAGGACTGTAGTGGATATTTTGATTGGACACTAGTAACTAGTGTGATGTGTCTGGCTAGTCCTTTTTTCGGTGCAGACTGAATTCTATCAGTCAGGTTTGTAATGTGGCCACAATTCTAGGTAGCTCGCCATCACCGTGCACATTGATTTGATGATACTAGATGGTTGGAAGCAATCAGCAGGAAGCCTTGGACCTAGGTTTCGTGCCAGTTGGGGGCTGCTAGGTTTGGGAAAGCTTATGGTTAGGATTATATTAGAGACCCACATGTGCTTTTCTAGAGCATCTGGCTGTTTAAAAGTTGTTGATGTATTCGTTCACCACTAGATTGCTATTCTTTTTACTTTGCCATTAAATAAACTGGCCATTTAGTAATCTTTTTTTAAATGGAGTTTCCTTCTTGAACTTTTTAGGATCCTTTTTCAGTGAAGTACATAAAAAATCGATTGAATATTTTTTTGCTTATATTCATTTTACCTACAACTGATAAGATAAATGGAAAGATTAACCGATTCATCATCCCCACCGAGATGTAGAAACGAAAGATTTCAAAGATTATTCAATTCGTTTTCTTATATATATACACACAAACGTTCCACGTTTGTTTTTTTGAATTATGTTACTACGCTTAAACTGAATTGAAATAGTGAACTGAAATAGTGTTGATCACGATAATATGATAAAGTAAGTACACATTGGATATTTTTGTTCTACGTCTTTGCGTTTCAATAAGAACATATACCTTCAAGCTTGAGATTTGAAGTTTCTGTTGCATTGCTGTTGTTTTTTTTGTGGGGTATGGTTGCTAGTCTGATGTTCAACTATCCAACCTTACCAGGCTTGTCAAAAGCTAAGCAAGGTTTACAAAGAAAATCGGTCGGGAATCAAACCCAGACCACGTATGTAGCTTTCGAGCAGTCTATCAGTGAATCGCTGACAAACAGTACAGTGAGCAGGAACGTTTAGAGGAATAAAGTTCAATGGAAAATAAAAATGAGTATATGATCTACAGCGTGTATCGATAGGTGATTTGACAACTACTTCGCTACTATCAAGGGGTCCTGCCAACAATTATACATCTCATCCGACAGTTGTATGACAGTGCTGCGTGCCAAGTAATCTACAACGGGAAGCTCAAGGAATCCTTCCAAGAAGTGAAGACGGACAAGACAAGGCTAGCTGTCTAGCTGCCCACTATCTGCACTGATTTTCCTTATCGAGGGCGGTAGACTGGATAATGTGACAGACAACGGCGAGCAACGAAGAAACAGGCATAGAATGTACCCACACAAAAACTTGGAGGATATGGACTTCACCGATGCTATAAATGTCCGATTTTTCACAAACTGGAAGTTATGCAAGTGAAAAGCAACAAGTTCACAGAAGAAAAATCATTCAGAGAAGATAGGCGTTCAGGTGAACAAAGAGAAGACAGAAGTAGGGGATGAAGATTCCTTACTAACAACAATCAGCACAAATGGGATGAATCTGAAAGAAGCAACCTCCTTTACCTAACTACCTGTGAAACATCGTTTCAACTCCAGGCAGGCGAAACTGATGAGAATAACAAAGCAAGGATCAGGAAAGTAAGGCAAGCTTTCATTTCTCTCAAGTCTTTGTGGAGATCAACAGCACTCAGTATGAAAAACAAGATCCGGATTTTCAACTGCGATGTGAATTCAGAGCTACTTTATGGATCAGTGACTTGGCGCGTCATTAAGAGCACCTCAAAAAGGCTACACACCTTCATCAACAGCTGTCTTCACTCAATACTTCGCTCAAGATGAGATGGCTGGTCAGGAAAGACCAGCAAAAGAGAGGGGTCTCTGGCAATGGGCGAACCAGCCCAGCAGGAACCGATTGTGCAACAAATAAGCAGGAGGAAATGAATGTGGATTGGAGGCCATACTTTGGGAAAACAAGCCATCAATTGAGTGTCATCACACGCCGGACCATGACTCTAGTGAAACAGGAGTAGGAAGCACCGAGTTGAACATCAATGCAAAAGTGACATGAAGGAGGTCATGTGAAAAGGAAGTGAAAGCATTTGGGCAGAAGTGGAACCAGTTGAAAACATTGACAGACAACCGATTGCAATGTACACATGTGACTGAAGACCTATGTTCCTCTAGGAACTAAAGGAAAAAATACTGATATAATAATGATAATAATAATAATGCTAGCTTTACACTACAGTGCAGTACACAGGGTTAACAGTTATGCTTATATTAAGGGTAAACATGTTGGAAGAAACACTTTCACTGAAATGAATTCACCGTTTCCAGATTATTTGTGACAGTTCAACACAGTCCCCTTTGGAATCCAAAAACATTCAGTACACAATGAGCAACCTACTTAATAATAATAGTCCCAATATAGAGTTCGTCATCAATCAACATCATTTAAAGGACCAATGAATAACACCTTATGATTCTTCAGTGGTGTTGAACCAACCAAAGATCCCAACCAGGGACTGAACCCTGAAACTTCAGATTACAGAGCTAAGCTCTCTGACTATCCAGTCACTTGTAGCGCGGATTTCAATGACCTATAAATTATAACTTTGTCAATAACAATAATAGTGTGATCGTGCTTAGTACAGAATCCTCAGCATGTTCTGTTGAAATGTATGAAAACTCTTAGTGTAGAATCTCCAAATAAATTGTCAGTCAGTAATGTTTTACACGAAATGATCACGGATTGATATCAGTTAGAGAACCACTGAAGACCACCTGGGAGTACTGGACAGCTGTTTCGTCGGCATAGTCTGGGAATCATCGGCAGTATCCACCCACCGCCACAGGGTTCGAACCTAGGACCTTCCGGTCACAAGGCAAGCTCGTGTACCATTCAGCTAGTGGGATGCGATCCATCAATGGCTAGTGTGTGAATTCTAACTTCTTTTATTTCGTAATTTAGTGCTACTGGCACCAACCAATGTCACTGCTGGGACATCCATCTTCACACTTGACTGGATGGTCCTCAATGGTCACCACTTCTCACTAGAACTGCAGGAAACTCCGTCATGTAACAAGCCACTAGCGAGATG